GTATACAGCGGGTAATAAGTACTGAACACATCAGCATTGCTCAGGTGTGATTTTGGCCCATTCTTCCACACAAACAGTCTTCAAATCTTGAAGGTTTCGTGGACCTCTTCTATGAACTCTGATCTTTAGTTCTCCTACTGTATGTTTGCTATGTTCTGTCTTCTTGTGAATGGGTGTTCTGAACTATAATTTCATTGTGCTCTGTACAATGACAATAAAGGTCTAATCTAATCTAAAATTATGTACACAAGGTTGCCTTCAGGTGCTGCCCTTGCAAAAGAGGTCTGCGATCTTGATGGGATTTGCCTGGTTAAATAACGGCAAATAAACAAATAAATAAATCGTAAACTTTATTGATGACCAGCTGAGGGGACCAGGCCATCTACATGATTACTGAATGATGCACGAGAGGAAAACCATCCGGAAATCAACTCGTTATCTTGAGAAAACCAAGGCAAATTATTTTATGCGGAAAACGGTCGCTCTAGGCTTCCGTACATTCAGCAAGATCAGAATGAATTTGTAAACCAAATGAGAGGGCTGGTTTATGCAGACTGATAATCTGAACAGYGTGCATGTAAACACTTGTTCTGATCTTGTTTTTTCCTGTTGTGGAAAACTGATCTGATTTCATGATTCTCATGAWTTCTTCTAACCTTCATCCACCAGTTTAGCAGCGCTGTGGTTGCCGGCATCACAGAACTTTCAAGGGTGTTTATTTCCTCCCACTCTCTCATCTAATAAAGAAGGAAGACAAACAGCATATGTTTCTTCACCAACCAAAGAAAAATAAAACAAACAAACAAAAAAAGCAGCATACATTGTTTTGACTGTCGCTCAATCAGGGACGGAAGGAACTTTTCATCGTTATTAAAACCTGGCGCGGGTCCATTCGAGGTGCTCATAAGATGCAGAATGTTTATGTTCATCACAGAAGTAGAAATGTTGTATTTTTTAAGGGGAAAATTACAACTCTGCACATGTCTGTGCTATTCTGAAGAAAATTCTGGTGCGTGTAAACTCTCATCGTGATTGGAATAATTGTGTGCCTGTATAAACAATACAATTGAATAATTTCATCCAAACCCATTTCAGTCCGATCAAAGAGTTGTGCACATGTAAACATAATTATTCAGTTCAACTGTGCAAAAGTCAGTAAGGCAACACTTTGGAAACGTAACACCTGCAATGCTAGTCAAGATCTTCCTTTCAAAGCCCGAAAAAGGAAAGTAAAATGAGAAAATTGAGATTTTCAGAGTGAATAGACTGAAAATTATGTTTTGTTCACTTTGTCAACAGAAACAAGTWGTCAAACAATGTTTACTGTGCAACAAAAGCATTGTTGAGAATAAAGAAAACATCATACAAATTCAAACATGCAACATTTTTGGGAAGTTTTCCAAAAGAATGAAAAGAACAAAAGGGTGAAGTACAGCAGCCGCTTGCATCTTTTCACCAGCTGAATGGCCTCCTGATGCTTCTGCACCGACTGCACAGAGCTGTCACTGCTTTTACAGTTTTATAGTCTGAAGATGGTATTATTTTAAAGACAACTTAAAGGATGTATCACTTAAAATTAAAAGCTTTTTTTGTACCTGATTGTTCTTTTATTCTTCTGACTTTTCATAAATCACCCGCAGTTTCACCACTGTATTTCTTGCTTATGGTTCGACTCGGTTCAAGACGAATGCAAACTGCCTTTCTAATGTTGCATACGGCCTCATACTGTATGTGGATATGACTCTCCACATTTCCATTATGTGTGGGTGAGCAGTTATGTGTGCATGTGCACGACTCACAGGAGTGCCCAGAGTTCAGTGTTTGATATGCTGCATATTTCCTGTGTTGACAGAGAGAATATTCATGAAATGATTGATGATTTTGTTTTCTTCCCTGATGCAAGAGAAGACAAAAAAAAAAAACAACACAGATATAGAGGCAGGCAGTGAGAGTGATCAAGGGATTGGTGTTTGTGTGAGTTTAATGCACACATGCCGGCAGGTTCGTCTCTGCAGTCAAACGTTTGAGGCTGAAACAGACGCTTCATCATAAGGACAGCCGTCTGATGATGATGATGATAATAACATCTCAGCAGGGGCGGTTCTAGGGGCAGGGCCACAGGGGCATTGGCCCCAGCTGAAATCTGATTGGCCCCCTGAAGTGCCCCTGTCCTGTCACTCATCTGTACTTTACCTGGGAGTGATGATGGCGAATGCAGTTCCATGTTCAAACACTAGCTGTGCTAATGAGTCAAATAGTAAAGTCCAGAATGAACCAAGCTTATAGAATTCTTCTTCTCTTCTTGAGAAAATTTAAACAATCTTGCAAAAAAAAGTCTTTCAACTGACAAATGGTGGATGGATTTTCTCATATTATGTGTTTAAGAATATTTTATCTATGTACAGTAAAATGTATGAAAAATTGGTGAAGAGAATTTACTGTGCAAGATTTCTTTGGTACCACTTTACGATAAGGCTCCCTTTATAGAAGGCTTGTAAAGAGTTTATATATAGGTTACTAATTCATCTGTAAACACTTTATAAATCAT